AGTCAGACGAACAACTGACCTCAATATATACACATCACAAAGTTTCATCACATATGGAAACAACGTATTTCAAGATGAAAACGTAATGGCACTTACGAGCTGGCTACTTGTTGAGTCAGAGATCGTAATTCTCTCGGTGGCATTCCTATCTCCGTTTTACTGCCCTTCTTTGAGTTCAGACGATACATTGAGATTGCTTCAACGAAGTACATGTATACCATTTTCTGATGGAAAGCAAGGTCCCAACAGTTTGTAGTAACTCTCACTGTCTTCCCGACTCTGCCACCTTCATCTGGTCTGTTTGGGATTCTCAGTGGCCTCTGAATGTTAAGTCTGAAGTAAAGAAATTCAATCGCCAATCAAAGGAAGCAATGAGGCCAATCTCTCTTACGCTTTACTCCATTTCAACTCACCTTGAAAGCTCACAAGACATGTCACACCTGAAACAATCAAAACAAAATTAGACAGTTAGGCAGCAGCAACACAAAACATCTTGTGTAATCTGGAAAGACAAAACGAATACTACTCACACAGCCTTCTTCATAGGCTGGCTTTTCTTCTGGCCAGCAGCTTCAAGGCAACCTCGCTTTCCAGTGGTAATGACGATGGAATATCACTACGTTCACGAGGTACATGCGTGATCCATGCAGGCTTCTTTGATACACCTGGAATATCACCAACACGTGACCTGAAGGATGAAACACAATACATATGTACAGTGTTATTTCTAAATTCATCTAGTAGCTTTCACAATCGAAACACTGTCAACGTTAACATCACACTCTCAGGTATTTTTGCTTAACAGATTCGGTCAGCGGGGAAACCTTCACACATCACAAGATCAACGCATAGTCACGTCTGCGCTAACTCGTATTCAAATGTCAAAACTCAATCCAATGATGATTTCCACTCACTCGTGTGTACACGGTTCAAAACAAACAACAGCTAGACAAAGACAAATTTACACCCACCGATCTGTTGACGGGTTGCGTTGAAATGTCGGATACTCAGTAGGTTGTGAAGATCTGCAAGCAAAACAACAATTTAAACCACGAGAACAATGGAAACGGTGACCAAATCATACCGAAATGCTTCCTCAGACTGTCGAAAATCACCTCCTCGAGAAAGGCCACATTAAAAGCTCTTCTGAGCTGTGTACAACCACAGTACCTTAGAACATACACGCTAATCGGGAAATCCAAGTAACCCCATGAAACACAATCACAAACAGGGTAACACACCTCTCACCAAACAGGAAATCGAATCACGCAGAGAAGGCTTGTGCAGATATTCGTCCTGGTGAAGAACACGCGGTCATTTATAATGTCAGAAAAAATTTATCGGAATTCATAGGAACAACATTATAAGTGATCGCGGGTTCTTCACCAGGACGAATATCTGCAAATGCATTTTGGATTGCCGCCAACTCCTCTACCAATACATTCTCGACTTGTTCTTCTTGACAAACGCCATCACGATAGAACAGTATACGCGTTGGGAAACGCCCATTTGTATTTCGAAAGTAAACCTGCAAAACAACAACAAAAACAAGCAACAACAGAAGCGTGCTCCAACAACATCAATCACTTCACAGTTGGCCCACAATGGAAACCAACCTCAAGCAACTCCTTGACAATAAGACGCATGTCGTCGATTATTTCTCTCTCTCTCTTTCTACGCTAATCCCCTCTTCATTTGTCGCCTGTTGGCGGATCACCATCGCGTATCTCATTAGATCCGGTCATACACTACCGATAACAGAAGCCACTGACTTCCGAAATTCACCATGAGTTTGTGTCGGCGCCGGATGGGACACGCCCGCCCCAAACACCATCAGAAACCCACCATAATCAGGTCGGGGATCTGCCAGTTCACACCACCCAGTTTACCATTCAGCTTCAAGTAAGAGGTTAACTCCATTATGGATAAGATTTTATTTTGATAAATCACACAGTGTTGTACAGTTATATTAACTGATGACGTTTCGAGCACAAACTATTGCCCCTCATAATCATATCAAGTTGCTCACTCACACAACTGTTTTTCTTCATTTATATACATGTGTGGAATCGATTAGATATTGGATTACAAATCAGTATGAGATAAAGCACATTCGGAAATAAAAATACGAGTGTTAACCATCAAAAAGCGAGTGTTCATACAGTCATTATAAGCAATCTGTTAGAATGTTGTGATGTGTTTGAATTGAAATAGAATTTTAAGATTATTTATTATCCTCTTCTGATTTGACTTGAGGTAGTAATATCTTCCATATTTCTGGCATTTGCATTGAGTCGTTTCTGTTGCATGTGTTGGATGTAGACTCACTGAACAAGGATTCCGAAATCAATCTCTCCGTCTCCACCCACCTATATAACTTTTTAGAATTTTAACCCTCTCCCACCATGCTATTGTGTGGTTGTTTGTTATTGAGTGAAGTGCAATAGCTGAGCTTTTTCTAAACTACCTAACTTTTCAGGGTCAACCATTCTTCCCTTGGCTAAATTCCTATGTTCTGATCATCTGACTATCCCCGACCTACTAGTTTGACCTATGTAGTTGACCTAACACATAGTCATTGCAGGGTATTTTGTAAATTATATTATTTTGTCTAATCGGGTCAACAGGGTCCTTTAACCTACAGAGCCTGTCCCTGAGTGAGTTTGTAGGTTTGAATGCCACCCTAATTCCTGCTTTATTAAGTAAGAATCCCTACGTAGGGTCTCAGATGTCCCCTCCTTATATGGGATAACAGTGGATAACTTATATTCTCTCTTATTTTTGTTATCATTACTAGTTCCACAATTATTTTTATTTTATTTTTGGCCTTTACTGATCTTCCTGATGAATTTTATACATTACATGAATTTTTACATTATCTCATACTGATTTTTAATCCAATATCTAATCGATTCCACACATGTATATAAATGAAGAAAAACAGTTGTGTGAGTGAGCAACTTGATATGATTATGAGGGGCAATAGTTTGTGCTCGAAACGTCATCAGTTAATATAACTGTACAACACTGTGTGATTTATCAAAATAAAATCTTATCCATAATGGAGTTAACCTCTTACTTGAAGCTGAATGGTAAACTGGGTGGTGTGAACTGGCAGATCCCCGACCTGATTATGGACAGTGGTGGGTTTCTGATGGTGTTTGGGGCGGGCGTGTCCCATCCGGCGCCGACACAAACTCATGGTGAATTTCGGAAGTCAGTGGCTTCTGTTATCGGTAGTGTATGACCGGATCTAATGAGATACGCGATGGTGATCCGCCAACAGGCGACAAATGAAGAGGGGATTAGCGGAAAGAGAGAGAGAGAAGTAATCGACGACATGCGTCTTATTGTCAAGGAGTTGCTTGAGGTTGGTTTCCATTGTGGGCCAACTGTGAAGTGATTGATGTTGTTGGAGCACGCTTCTGTTGTTGCTTGTTTTTGTTGTTGTTTTGCAGGTTTACTTTCGAAATACAAATGGGCGTTTCCCAACGCGTATACTGTTCTATCGTGATGGCGTTTGTCAAGAAGAACAAATCGAGAATGTGTTGGTAGAGGAGTTGGCGGAAATCCAAAGAGCATGTGCAGGCATTCGTCGTGGTTATGATCTCGGGATTAATTATATTGTTGTTTCGAGGGGTTACGGCATCAATTTTCGAACACACGAGCCTAGGTGAGTACGAGGTGTTAATACTCATGGTTTTTTGTGTGGAGCTACTGTATCTTTTTTGTTGTTGTTGTGGTTGCTCACGCGTGTGTGGGCGTTCCTGTTAAGAATAGCGATTTGCCTTTTCAAATGTTTTTGTAGGGCGAGAAACGTGGAGCCAGGAACGGTGGTTGATAGAGGAATCCCACCTCCCAGGGAATTCGATTCTTACTGTGCACAATGAAGGGATTCAGGTAAATTGTTGTTAGTTGCCTGTGTTAGTTAATGAATATCATTGATTTTTTTGTAGGGTGCTTCGAAACCTGCTCACTTTCACGTTTTGTATGACGACAGTAACTGGACATCGGACGCTTTGCAGTTGTTCACCTACCACCTATGCTATGCGTACATGAGGTGTTCGCGTAGTGTCTCGTATCCAGCACCAACTTATTATTCTCACTTGGCTTCATTTCGTGCCCGTGAATGGTTATTAGACGTAGAGAAGCCAGAGATTCTATTGGATGGTGGTCGTTTTAAAGCTCACAGCAGTCAAGTTGACGGGATGTTTTACTTGTGAGGAGATTTCTTATTTTCATATAAATTACATTTAATTTAAATCCATGTTGTTTGGCTTTTCGATTTAATTGAGCGTAGTTTGTTGAGGAGATAGTTTATTGTTACGGTGCGGTCATGGTCACGGAGTAGCATGTACGTGGCTGTGATGGTGATGATACTGGTGAAGACGTGTGCACGCCTGACAGTTCGATTTTTTATCCATCAGGTTTCCAGTGGAACATAGGACCTCAAGCTAGTGGCTTGAGGCTTTTGTAGAAGTGTTTAATTTTACAGGATGGGGTTGCTAGCTCCATGCCCAACCTTTCCTCTTCACCAGCATTATTTCTGGCTTAGCTAGGTAGAGGAGTGCGTCGGTGGCCGGGGATCGAACCCCGGACCATGTGCGTGGTCCGATTATTATTATCTAAGATAATGTCTGTAAAGGAAGTGTGACCATGTGGCTGTTTGCATTGTAGTTTTGACTTTTACGTGCGTGATGTGTCTGTTAATGATGTGATGATGTGGTGTGGACACGTTGGATTCGAACGTATATATATATATATATATATATTTGTGTGTGTGTTGACGAAAGATGTGTGATGGAAAAGTTGTAGTGGATTTAAGAGATTTCTGTTGAGCTTGCAAATATCTAGACGTGAGACGGTAGGAATGTGGTTGTAGACAGTTTGAGCGGCGAAAGTGTGGTCGCCTCGTAAGTAGGTTCAGAATCCTACCGATGAAATTGTGTTTTCGCCAAGTGATGATAGGAGGGTCAATTGACCACAGTTGATCTGGAGAATCCTCTTCACACTGTGTGTGTGTGTGTGTGAGTGGGTAATTTAGATATGATAGAGAAGATTTGTAGCTCAGGTGGATGATTTTTTTGATATGGTTTTGTTCTCTGAGCTGGATGTTTAGTTTGCAAAGCTTTCATCACCTTACTGGGTGACATCGTCAGCGCATACTTCAATTTGAAGTGAGCTTTTAGATTTCTCCACGAGTTTATTGATCATCTCTCCTGGTGACCTTGGACGTGATTAGTTGTTTGTGTGTGTTTTCACATCTTCTTGGTTACTTGCATTGGAACCGGTTGTTTCTTTGCCTTGAACTTTGAACATTTGTGTATGAAGTTTCTTCCTTATTGGTTGATAACTTTTGTCTATCTCGATGTGTCTATTGATTGATGATTCACTGGAATGCCAAGCTTCTAAAAATTCTCTAGCATTCTTGTTATTTCCTTTGTCTAATATTTGAACGTTGTCCGAGTCGAATTGATGTCCGTAGTTGTCTGTGTGTAGTGAAATGAGGGACGTCCACTTTGGCCGATGTAGTGTTTTTCGCAGTTGTTACAGTTTATTTTGTAGATGATGTTGGTTTTGTCTTCTTTCGCTGTTAAGTCTTTTGGTTGACATAGAATTGAGTGCAGCGACTTTGTTGGTTTGTGTACGACGTCAATTGCTAAAGGTTTGAAGAGTCTTGTAGTGATTTCTGAGATATCTTTTATATATCGTAAGGCAATTTTCTTTGTGCTTTCCTTGGTGGTTTTTGCTTTGGTAGGTTGGCTTCGGGGTATATGTCTCTTGATGAAATTCCGTGGATATCCATTCTTTTGGAAGACGTCCATGAGGTACTTTTCTTCAATTTTCCTTAAGGTGGGAGTGGGTAATTAATAGGTGTGACTGTGACGTCTCACGGTTCACTGACACCACTTAAATCAACAACTAGTTATCAGAGCAATAACTCAAATGTATGGAGAATCGCAAGTCGAATAACATGGGCGGATATGTTAGTAATAATAATAGTAATAGTAATAATGATGATAATAATATTAATATCCATGAATCACACTAATACACACAGATACTAATGACAGCAAGGGTGTATGTAACTGTCCTGGCAAGGGATAGTTTCAAAGGAATGAAGAATAATGATGATGTGATGACGATGATAAGAAGGGGAAGGAGAAGAAGAGGAGGAGATAGAATGTGAATATTTGTGACACTGATAACATGAACGGTCAGTGTGTAAGACATACCACCATGTCGGATTCAGAGTGACGACCGTTTCCGTCGTGTACATGGTGACTGGCAATATAGAGGCTAATTCCACACGCCTCCACAGTTGAAAGCTTCTTTCTGTTTGTTTGTCTGCTAATACGTGGTCAGTTGATCTGTGTTTGTGTGGTACGAGAGACAGTCTGAATCTCCGACTCAGGGATTGACTTGCTACCAGGGAATAATCTCGTTGACTTAGAATATGCAGACGATATTGTCCTTCTAGGCGAGGACGCTGACAAAATACAACAGAGTCTTCTAAACACCTTGAGCTGCAATCTATGAATGTTTGGCATGCGATTCGCTCCCGCCAAATGCAACTTTACAGGACTGGACTACACCGACTCCTAGATTAGAAATAGGGAGTGAAGTGGTAGAGCACGTCGACCGCTTAGCCGAAAGAATGGTCCGCTTAAAGATGTAATATATAATCTTGATTTTTGTCGATATGTTGATGAAACATTCATAGTTATTAATAAATATTGTTCTGTCTGTTTATCTAGTCACTAGGACGTCCAGAAACGGGATAGAGTGATTTTCTCTTCTTCCTTAGTCAAGCTTATGGTGGGATGTGCTTTATTGAATTTATATAATATGTTCTTAGGCTCACGTCATTTTCTTCGTGTTTGGAAGGTTTTTATGTGGAAGTGATGTATTAGATGTTCACGGAGCTAATCGTATGGCAGAGAATTGTGTTGATCTGGAAATGACAGAGTTTTCACTAGTCTGTACGTATCTAGCCAAATCGCATCATGCGTCAAAGCATTCAAGGTAATCGTCGATTCCCCTCAGTGAATCATTCATAGGAAGCTTTCCAGGATTATATCATTCCATGGCGACGGCAAATTGTAATGGTTATTCGTAATAGTAGGATTTCGCAATGACCGAACCACAAGAAATCAACCAACAACACATAAAGGGGTGGAGTTGGGATTTTGTATTTGTCAGAATTAATTGTCATTTATGTAATAAATTTAACAAGGAACAGTAAGCATTTAAACAGTACAGCAAAAGAAATTTTCAATCACCATACCCATTTGTCATTCTAAATCAAAAATGTTTCGGAATGTTGAATTCTATCGTATCAAATTGCGCACCATGTTATTTTATTTGCTTACTAACCGTATCATTATGCGACCACTTCCATCATCTATACATCCTATGAATTAAAGCACCATACACTTAATCGTATTGATGCAATCAGTTCTAGTGTTGTAGAGCTAAACAGGAACATATCTGTGAGAAGTCACGTTCTGTTTGAACTTTCAACTGATGAACTCCGGCAATTCGAGGAATGCGTTTCTTGTGTCATCGGAAAACAGTCCCAGTCTGCTAACCTCAAGCATCTTGACAGCCTCAAGCAGGTAGTGGCAGAAAACAGATTTCCGACTGATCTCAATAAATATGTATTTAATTATTCTTCCGTCATTGTTTCTGAAATTCAACTACAAAGCCTATCACTGGGCCACAAATTCTGTAACAGTTCGTCCGAAGTCAACAGAGTGTATACTCAAGTGCAATTTGAAAATCTTATTAATCAGACCAGCGATCTGACACCCACATCACCTGAGGAATTCCAACACCTCATCAGCTGCTTACAGCCTATATAAATTTTGAGGTTTACGTACAGAAGCGTTTAAACATACTTGCACATTTTACATGTTGTCAGTTGACAGAAAGTTCCACAATTAGTAAACAGTGCTCGGAAAATTGCGTTTATATAGTTTTTACACAGGCAGTTTTAAGTTAAAACAAAATAAATGTATGCGTACGTACGTAAACCTCATAATTTATATAGGCTGTAAGCAGCTGATGAGAAGCCAACGAAATAAATGATGGTACCATATTATTCTGCACAAACCACTGTTGTTCTTGCTTTATTCAAATTCATCAAGGGGAATAAGTGCATGAAGTTATTCAGCGAAACCTTCAAAAGTATCCGGAAATAACTTTGTCGACATTCCAAGTGTTTAGTGCAAGAAACCGGAAAAGATCTTATGGAATTTGGGATTTGTTTCAGTGATCGGAACGGAGATGCAGTAATGGTGAACAAAGGGTAAGTACAATAATAATGCTTTGTGGTACTTTCTTGACCTTGTGAATGTGAATATGTGTGGAAAATTGCATGTATTTGTCAGATATGTGTTGTGTATGATTGCTTTATTCTGAGGTTGCACGGCATACGTAACTGATTGAATCTCACAGCCTGTTTATTCTATAGTTGGAGAAAAGGGAACAAGTAGTTCAGCTAACCTTCTGTGTTTGGCTGTAGACATAGTGGGACTGTCGTGGATTATTTTGGTCTAGTACTTTTGCTAAAGATTATCGCACTGTTGAAGATTTGGATGTTTTATGCAGAATTTCTCATTTGATTTTTCATCATTTACATCACTTGACAAGTAACCGTTAAATAAGATGTCTGAAAATAGCGTCAACTGTCTCCTCCTCCTCCCCCCTCTCACTTTGCAATAAGCTGGATGTCGCATTTTATTAATTTGTGTGTTTTCGTTCGCCAGGAAACAATTAAATAATTAGATTGTCCTCATTTCGTCTTCTTTTTATTTGTGTAATACAGAGTGATTCCCCGTACAGCGGATCATTGTGAAGGCTCTTCCTGTCTCCATTGGACTGACAGTGCTAGCAGTGGTACTAGTCGAAATCTTCTCAAGCCTGGTTCAACTGCATCATTGGATTCATGTTTTGGGATGTTTAGAGCATTATGAGTTAATCGTTTGAAAACCTTCTTGTACATAGCCTGAAAGATGCTAGATTTCTGTCGTTGCGTTCTTAATTGCGTTGTTCTTAATTCCAACGGAATGTATGTTATTCATGCGAATTATTGAATGACAAATGTAAATACATGTGTACGTGCATAATCTGTGTTGTTCGACAATTTCACAGACACATTCTGTGACAGAAGGCAGTGGAAGCGACGAAAAGTAGTTTCATGTATTCAGGAATTGGTGAAAGTGTATTAGTCAAGTGGTAGAAATGTGCCGTATTCTAAAGTGTAGTTGTTCTTCTCAGGCTCACAATATGATTGCATTAGTTGGTGTATTGCTTACGCGACATCAGTGAAATTCGGAGGTTATTTAAACATTTCGGGTGGTAATATAGGGATGTTTAGAGTGTACTCTCTATCTTTGAGATGCAAGTGATTGCTTCTGTACCAGTCGACATGGTGACATGACATTATGACAAGGAGTGGAGTGGTTAAGTAGGTTGATGTGTTTCATTGTTATGGAGAGTTAGGTTATATGTTGTTAGATGACATCTACTGAAATCAAGGCATGAGTACAAAGGGCTCGTTTGACGTTTCCAACTTGAAGTACTTGTGGAGTCGTTGAGATAGGTGATATCGTCCGTGAAGAGTGAGTACTGTTCAGTGTGTTGTGTTTTACTATATGGGTGCAAACAGACGTTCGGGCATATGATCATCGATAAAAGTAACGGAATAGCAGAGGCTGAACATCAAAGTGTGATTAAGTAATTTATTCATTACGGAATGTAAGATTACTGGTGGTCCACTAAGGGCCAGTCAGAACTTTTTTATGCATAGTCCTGCGCTGAATGTTCAGTTGAATTGGTGAACTGCATTGGCTTGTGTCAGCCAAATTATTCTTCATCACAGATTTCGTACTCCGCTTTTGAACCGGAAATCGTAGGATATTACACATGATGTTGTTTTCAAACTACTGGTTACGGATTAATGTTAAGCAATTAAATTAGAGTTAGGGGACTCTTCCCGTGTAGTCGATAAATGATCATCTTTTCAAGGATTCTACTCCTACTCCTCCATACACACTTGTGAAGGCGCGATGCTAGGTAGGAAAAGTGTTTGATTTATGTGAGTGAATGAGATGAGAAATATGACTGATGTTCAACGTGTGGGTTGTAGGTCGGTGATCTAGGCTTATTCACGTGTGTAATCCCTTCGTCTGAGTGTGAATGAAATACCTCGGAGCAGAGTAGGGGCTTGATTATTAAACTCAGCTTGTTTCCTGGCCATGTGATCGCTGCGATAACTGAGTGTGTTAAATAAACACTGAGACCAAGTGAAATTCGAGGTGAACAGGAAGTTTGCGGAATCAATAGTTGTTTAAAAGTCAGTTGCGGCGACGAGATCTCCGCGTGACACAGACTAAGAGTCACACTTAAAATATGAGAGTTGATGATACTACACAGTTGTCCCGGCTGAAGTGGTGGTGTGATGGATGGGCGTAAGATTCAAAAGCGGGATTGATTTCTCGACAGCCGAGTGGTGAGGCCAATGCAGAATGAAGAGGTCCAAGAAATTCAAACTTATATTCAGATTCATCCGTGTAGTACGATCACTCGACTGTAAAAGATTGCACACCTACGCATCCTTAGTTCGCGTACAACTCTTCAATACTAAAATATGGAGAAAGTTTTAACTGATTTCTAATGTAATAATAATAATAATAATTCAGCATGGCCCGGCCGATAACTGCTAACTTGCCGTGGTGGTCGGGCTTGAATACCGCAATGACCCAACAAGCTAAACTGACTTGGACTCATGTCCCTGCAGGTCCTACCATGTCAGGAATGTTGTTTAGATAGCGGTTAAACTAAAAGCAGTTACCATGGGGTACATGGACTCCAGTATCCGATC